AAAAAAAAAAAAAAACAGAGACCTCCCACCGGAAATCACGACAGAGTGTTTTCCTAGCCCTCAGATCACAAATGATCTGATGGTGGTGGTTGCAAAAACAGTGAACGAAGTAACCGCCACATTTTCTTGGAACAAAATTGACTTCTATCAGAAGTGATCCTGACACCCTCCATATACCCCGTGATTGAAGGAGGGTTGCACCCAATGAGATAATTGCACAACAGCAGGTAAAATGCTGAATATCTTCTATCCAGTGGGCTAAGGCCGACCCCAACCTCATTTGGAGTTGGCCACACCCCCAACCGATTGAAAAGATTCAGGCGGGAAACTTTCTTTGCACTGACCGTGGGATCACGAGTACTGCATGGCAGGATTTGGATCACTCAACTGCCCCACAAACTCGTTTCTAGCCTATCCCGTTGCTAGTGGGACCTCGCCCCTGGTGCTTGTCATTGCTGTCTGGTCGAAGTTGCCCTCAATACTGGTAGGGTGATGGTCCTGAGTGCTGGTCACACTGAGGTAGGATAGTAGGGACGGGGGGTGTGCTGGGAGTATTAACGTGGGGATGGGTAGGGTAGGTAGCCTATCCTAATAGGAAAACCATTGGCTGTTGCTACCAGCAATCACCACGGGTCTGGTCCTTGGCCTCTACAAGACCCTGGGCTTTCGAAAAAAAAAAAAAAAAAAAAGAATGGATCTTCTGCCAGAACGTGGAATAATGCATCGCCATATGTTTTGTCTTCTGTGCATGTGGTGAGTAGAGGCCCTTAGGGCCACTGCACGTATTCCTAAAACAAGAAAAACGAGAAAAAACAGAAGAAAAATCAGAAAACAAAAGAAAAACGGAAAAACAAAAGAAAGAAGAGAAAAAAAAAAAAAAAAAGAGAAAACAGAGAATTAGTGACCCATAACTTTGCTGCGACTGCCACAGACCTGCATTCGAATCCAGACTATATATTCTCAGGCCACAAAGGCAGTCTCCAAGTCTTTGCTCCACGAAGGGTCCTTGCTAATCTGTAGGGACCCTTCGGAATGAAACTGTACGACCAGATTGCAGCATTTGTAAAAAAAAAAAAAAAAAAAAGGAGGACCTGCACCCATGTGCACACACATGTGCTCACAGTCTTGAGGTATGGGGTGACCCCTACTTTTTGCCCTCTTGCAGTTTGAATCTCGGGAGGGAGGGGAATGTTTGGCCACCCCACCCTGTTAGTAGGGGTCAATTTTTTTATTTTTTTTCTTCTTGTTTTTAGTTTTTGGGCGCGTAGGGCCACGTGTCCGAGGCCCAACGCGCCGGTTTCGTTTTTCAAAATTGAACGGAACACCCCCGTTTTCGCATTAAACGCGATTTAACGGGGCCCCCGGACCCTTTGAACGGGTTCAACGGCGTTGAATTTCGCCCGTTCTCCGTTCATAGGACAAACAGTCTATGAGTCCTCCTTGTGCGAAAGAACTTCTTCCGGAACTCTTCCATTAGTTTCCTGGGTAATCCTCCTATGCAAGGACCCCATCTTCTTGTCTTGTGAACGGTGGATGCGTGTATACTGTGCAATGCAATCCATCTTTCCCTGTGCATGTCTCATTTTCGCACCTTCCATAGTGAATGTATGTATGGAGACGTGTGACTCTTTTTTATTAGACGATTATCGTCGGGATCTTGTTCGAGAATGCAAGAGTGTTTAGATCTGTAGCTTTGCGCATGCCATCTGCCTTATGCTGCACGACATCAGCAGCGAAGCCACCAGGAAGCCTTGAGAAACAAGGCGCCGGGAACCACGTTGTGTTGACTCACTTAAACTGAGTCGCGGGTCGGTCCCTTAGCCATATGCATGATCAAGCTGATGCGTGTTTTTTTTTTTTCTCTCTCTCTCTCTCTCTCTCTCTCTTGTGTCAAAAAGGATTGATTGGAGGATGCTTGAGTGTTTCCTGTTCTTGATAACGTCTCGAGATATTTGCGGTTGATTGATATGTGGACTGACAAGCACCCTTCGATCGGGGGCCAGCCTTCCGTATCTCCCATCTCAACACGACCTTTTCCCTACTGCGAGAAAAGGACACGTGTATGCGAGTGGGACATACGAGAAGCCGTCGCACAAATCGGCGGGCAATATTACTTCCCTCCGGCCAACCGTTGTTCAGGCTTCGTAGATGCTGGGTTTGTCATTATCGATACGCACTTTCCACCCTACTCGGTATTGTTGCCATTTAATGAGCTGATCGTCATCCCGTGGACGGCAGTAGAGCCCCATTGGCCTCGAACCCTGTATACGGAGTGCCAGCGCTTCGATCACTACAAATGCAGGCCGCTCATATGGAACGAATGGAGCAGATAATGAGCAGGCTAATTAAGCCTAACCCGGCTCCTGCTCGGCCTGCCCCTGCATCATTTTCACTCTTACCTGCCCCGCCTGCTCCAGGGTTCGCACCTCAGTTCCCTCATCTAGTTAATCCTGCAGGAAAGATCGAGTGCTTTAACTACAAACAGCCCGGGCATTTCGCACGGGACTGTCCGCAGCCGAAACGTAATCAGCCTCCCCCTGCTGCGGCCCCTGTCGCCCTTAATCAAGGACGAGTGGCCACCCTGATGGATACGGACCGAGGAGGAGAACTCGTGGCATATGCCCCAGAGCAGCCTTCCCCTTCGATGGCAATGGCGTCGACACGGGAGCTTCTTCCTAGACGAGTACACGTTCTTGTTAACGCGCTCGTAATAGATGTACGTTCCTATTCTGTGTTTTTGGGATTACCTTGGGCGATGGCGGTGGGCGCACGTCTGCATTTTGATTCGAAACAATTGGTGTTCACGCAAACTGGGGGAAAGCCTCAAACTGTTCCCTTGCGAGTTTCCACCCGAACGATAAAACGGGTCCCTAACTCGGCCCAAATTGGGATGATTCGATGCATTGATCCCGATGAGCGCTCTCCCTCGCACATCAGTGATGGAATCAGGGAACAAGAATACGAAGAAGAGCTGCCTAGCGAAGATGAATGGAAGCACCTGGTTGAACTTTTCGAACACGAAATTCCCTAGGAATTCCAAGTGTGCCCCGACCCTGCTTGAAGTTTCCACGTGGATTCAGGAGACAGCGCGCTTGCGTCTCCAATAACTCGAGTTAGTCCTTCGGTCCTTCTTGGGGAACCTATATTGCAAGTATCTGACCTGCCCGATGATTCGGAACCCCCTCGCACCTTGTACGAAGGAGCTCTCTCCTTACGAACGCGTTATCAGCAAACGGAACAATATTTGGATGTTTCTGTTTTTCCGCCCAGAACGTTACTAACGACAGGAGCCACCATCGCTTTGATTAAACAAGAGGCGGAAGCACCGGTAAGTGATATACCTGACCTACTGCAAGAAATGACCGACCTAACGGGGCTAACTGTGGAACCAACCTCGGTTGGTTAAGAGACTGATGCTGAAGCCAAAGAAACAGAGATGATCAGCCCCGCTGAGTCCCAGATGATAGCAACTGTCTTCTCTGTTCGCACCAGTAGTTCCGTTTTCTCTAGTGTCCATGATCGGCAAGAACGGCCGGTTGATTGGGTCGATATGCCCCTTAAGATTTTCGGGGAATCAACAATCACCCTACCAGGTCACGTCCCCGCGAAACTTCGGAAATCATTAATCCGGGTGTTAAATGGTTACGCAGAAGTATTGAGCATACACGATAACAACATCGGCTTAACTAATGTGATCGAGCATGCCATTCTCACGAGAGACCATCCGCCCATTAGTTGCGCTCCCTACCGATACTCGCCAGCTCAAAGAGCGGCCGCTTTTCAGCGGATCAAGGAGTTCGAAGCTAATGGATGGATCAAACCTGCTATAGGTCCATGGTCTTTCCCTGTAGTGATCGTGCCTAAAAAGGCCGGAGGGATTCGCATTTGTATTGATTACCGAAAATTGAATGATATCACGATTAAAGACGTGTACCCTCTCCCCCGGATTGATGAGTTGTTGGATGCGATTGGGAATGCTCGATTTTTCAGCAAGTTTGATGTTCGCTATGGGTTCCATCATCTTCTTATTCGAGAGGAAGATCGTCCGAAAACAACGTTTGTGCTTTTCGAGGGTACGTGGCAGTGGATTCGATGTCCGATGGGTATCTACAACGCCCCCACGACCTTTCAACGGGCAATGAACATGGCTTTTCATAATTTCGTGAGGAAGACTCGTTTGGCGCAGAGTATCATCAACTACTGCGTGATTGTGTACATGGATGACATCTTGGTGTATTCAAGTTCCTACGAGGGACACGTGCAGCACATCGAATGGGCACTGCACGCGTTACGAGATGCGGGCTTCAAGGTGGCGCTTGAGAAGTGTCAGTTTTTCCTCACCACCATTTCCTTCCTAAGGCACGTGGTGACAGACAAGGGACTCCAACCGGAGCCGCAGAAGGTGGCAGCTGTCAGGGATGCGCCGGTGCCTACGACTATCACGCAAGTTCGCGCCTTTCTGGGCCTAGCCTCATACTACCGAAGATTTATCAAGTGCTTCGCGGCAATTGCGGGACCCCTCACAAATCTGTTGCGCAAGGATCAGCCGTTGATTTGGACGCCGGAGTGCGATCAAGCGTTTTCCAAACTCAAGGCCGCTCTCATTTCGGCTCCGGTCCTTATAAGACCGGATGCCGAAAAGCTTTTAGTTCTCATCACTGACTGGCAGCCAAACGCAATTTCGGCGATCCTTGCCCAGGTGGGACCAAGCGGACTCGAGAATGTGGTGGAGTATGCGTCCAAATCAGTGCCCGCCTGCAAGCGCAACTACGTCGCTCTAACGGGAGAATGCGATGCGGCTCTCTGGGGAATCAGTCACTTTCGTACGTACCTGTACGGGCGAAAATTCACCCTGGTGACTGATTATGAGCCCCTGTTGGCTCTGAAGAAGTCGAAGGATTACTCGGGCATGATCGGGCAATGGGCAACGGTGCTGCAGAGCATGGACTTTGACATTCGTCATCAGAAGCTCGAGAGACACGGGAATGCGGACGGACTGACACGGCTGCACCGGCCTGAGAAAGTTCCGAAGAATGAGGAGGCGATTCCGTGGAACGAACCTGAACAGGAGATTGGACCCCGGTACGGCCAAGTGGAGATTTTGTCGAAGCAGTAAGTGACACGAGGACTAATTTGTCTGTTCTTCTCTCTCCATAAGTCAGTCTCATCTCTCCTCCTCTGTCATCATGACTAACCCGCCTCCCTCCACAACCCCTTCTTCTCCTACTAATTCTCCCCCTCTCACCTCCTCGGCTTTCTTCGCCACCCTCCCTGATAAATTCAGTTATTTTTGCATGTGTATTGCACGGGTTTATGGGGTCCACTGTCATTCCTTCGAGACCGGATTTGTTGATTGGGTAGAATGTGCCACGTGTGTCAATCGTGCGCACGGAGCCTGTGTTCGATATCGAACGAATAGCAAGGAATGGAGGTGCCCCCTGTGTAGAACGAACAAACTCCCCACGGAGGTTCGATTCGAGGCCGCCCGTACGGACGACCCTGAATATGATGAAAAATACCGACGAGGGGGGGTTTGGACGGATAAAATTTTATTGGCGAAATTAGCGGGATTATCATTGGGCCACCTCACCAAACATGATAGACGTAGGGCGACCGAGAGATCTCGGGACTATCGATGGGTCAAGTCATTTGGAAAAGCGTAAAACTGACTGATCGGGCTCATGGTTGACGGTTCCCCATCCATTCCAGAGATATGATTGGATCTGATCTGCTCACGAAGAACAGGCCGCTCATTTCGCGATACGTGTCACGGAGGCAACTGTAGATCAGAACCGATGGTTCTGGTCCAATATACGAGATGATGTCAAATACATTGTCGCTAACTGTCTGGTCTGTGCCGCTGATTGCGCCCCTATACAGGGACCAAACACGATCGTACCAACGGAAGCAGAGCGTCCTTTCCAGCGAGTCAGTATGGACACAACAGATATCGACGTGCCACGTGGCCCAAACCGCTGTGAATATTCTATCCTGCTAGTATTAATAGATCATTTTTCGAAGTACATTGAAGTATATCCCTGTAAGACCCGAAAAGCCGCAGAAATAGCAACGTACATCAAACGGTTCCTCTATACCCATCTAGATACGAAAGAAATTTTGACCGACAATGGGTCTGAATTTAAAGGTGAGGTAGAAGAACTGCTTGCGCGAAGGGGCGTCACGCTCCGACATACGACACCCCACGTGTCCCAGTCAAACGGGTTGGCCGAAAATGCCAACCGTATGATTAAAACCGCCCTTCGCAAGAATTTAGCGACACATGACATGCGTCCTTGGCCCGAGATCGTATATCAGATCGTCGGGATCCACCAGGCCACCCCTCACTAGTCCACGGGGTTTACCCCTTTTCAGCTTCGAAGTAATAGCCTCCCCTGTGTCGACTACCGGGGTAACTTGGAAATTGCCGAAGCAGGGGGTAGAGACACGCGTGCAGCTCTCAAAGCCAAGGCCAAAAGGTACACCGAATTAATGGAACGGGCCGTCCCGAAGCTAGCCCGAAAAAGGCAAAGGATGACCGAACTAGCCCACGGTAGACAGGTCCATAGCTACAAGGCTCGGAATGGAAATGCTGGGCCCCAGCGTCAATATAAATTAGGGGACCTAGTGCAGGTACGTAAATATGCACGCGACCGGAAATTCGCTCCCAAGTTTTCTGGTTGTTTTCCCGTTGTCGAGCTCGGACCCAACGGCGCCAACACGATGCGCATTGCGCCTCAGGCTAGTGCCAGCCATAGCTCTGTCCCCATTGTCCGGCATACCTCCTACCTCCGTCTCCTTCCTCCTTTCGATCTTCCTCCCTCTTCTTCCTCGGAAAGCGAGGAGAATGACGACGATCTAACCCTCTCTCCGCTCTCTCCCTCTTGTCCTTCGATATCCTCTCCCTTTTATCACGGAGCGGGTTCTTGACGCACAGTTGTTGCAGCCACGGGGCCACATCTCAGAGATTCGGCAAGTTTGTCACCCTCAGCTCAATTCGGATCTTCGGCGTTTGATGCGATTCTTCTGCGACGAAGGTATCTGTGTCGCCGCCGCGTTTCGAATCGAAGGAAGTCCTCACGCAGTGGTATTCGCGGAGGTAACCGCAGTTCATCGGCGAGCGAGTCCCAGAACGAGCCACGCCACCACGGTTGCGGCGTTCAGCAGCGATATCAACTCGGTCAATCCGCAGTGGCATACCGCGATCTTGACCTCCCTGCGCGAGTGGACGGAGCAAGTGTCCAACGTGTGGCAGCACATCCTCGCCCGCCAGGGGTATAACCTCATCCCGGTCTTTGCACCGGATCTTGGCGATATTCGTCGATCACCGCGCGAGCGGCCAGTTGTGATCCCAACCCTCGTCCCCCTCCCACATCCCCAATGAACCACGCCGATATTCTCGCTCCTCTCTCTATCTTTGGTCTCCCCTCTCTCTTCCCCACCTTCTGGCAATCCGATCTTCATCCTTCTCTTTCCTTCTCGTTCGAGCCTCTTTCAGTCCCTCTTATCAATCCTGGACATTGGCGRYTGTGGCGCGAAACTTTTGWGGAGYTRTCTTTYTGCTTGGCCARARTACAGGTGACGTGGACACAGACCAGCGGGCATCCTGCGTGGATCGAAAATCCGGAGCTGCTAATCATCCAAGCTTGGAGGACTAACGTGGAGGGCGATCTTCTTGGCTTTCTCTTTGGATCGGTACAGTCGGGGCGCCGCCATCTGATTGCGCAGGAGGTCATCGCACCAATTGTGCAATTGGCGGACGATCTCTCGCCCGACATCTATTCACAGACTGACGACAGTCCTGCTCCGTACATTTTCGAGCGATTATTGGATCCGTACCTTCAGTGGACTGCGTGCTTGGAAGAACCTAGGGACAAGGATACGCTACCATCGCTGCAAGAGTATCTCAAGCCGTACGATATCATCCCTCACGCCTTTTATCCAAGGGCGGAGGAAGTGGTGATCGACGACGACGAAGAAGAAGACGAGGACGAGGAAACATCGGAGGAGGGAAGCTATAGTGAACATAGCGAGGGCGAGCTGAGCAAAGGGGAAGAGGAGGAAGAAGAAACCGGATCTGAGTGGGAAGCCTTGCCGGAGGAAGCGACGCATACGGGAACGGAGGCGGAAGCTCCGGAAGTGGCGCGAAAGCGCAAAGAAATTGCCACCGGGAAGCGCCAGCTGGAGTTCGCCAGCGAAGCTAGCCTGCACATCGGTAATGATCCGACCAGGGATCCAGAGCCGCCGAAGCCCGAAGATGGCGACCCTGCAGCCGCCACCTCAAGTACCGCGCGACGGAGACGGAGTCGATCCCCCTCCTCCTCCAGCCCCACCCGTCCCCCAGTTCGCCCACGTACCGATGCGGGCGATAGGCCTTCGTCCTCGGACGCTGTCCCGCCGACCCCTTGATTTCCTCACCCTCGAGCAGATCCGTACCCCCGTCACCTTCCCTTCCCATCCCTTCCTTCCCCATCTCTTCCACGACTTTTATTCTACCCGCCTATTCGCCACTGTCCACCCCCACGCCTCCCTTCAGTCCGCTGCCCCCACGTTCTGCTGGCATCTCCTGCTGTTCAGTGCTGCATGGGAGCGATGCAACGTGGTAGATGTTTACTGCGTTGCCACGGGGACAATCCCCGCCTGCCGCCGCCACGAGTTCTTTCGAGCGGCGCTTTTCCGCACCCTCTCCTCCTTCTATCGTGACTACCTTGCTTCTCTCCCCCGCAACGGCGATCACTTCCCTCGCTTCCACCGGATCATCCGATATGAGGAACTTCCTGTGACGATGGAAGGGATGAATCGCTTCCTACCCCCACTTCCTTCCCGTCGACCCCGTGAAATCCCCCCCATGTACCGCCTTTATTGGCCCATTCCAACTAGGAGGTAGATCCCTGATCCCGCGGCTAGTCCCCCCCCCTTTCCTTTCTTCATCGGCAGGAGAAGACGGCACGAATCAGTCAGCCTCGCGAAGATCACGTCATCGACGATGACGTCAACTTACGCTCTGATTCGACGGGCGGCAACCAGCTGGGGTGCAGAGCACACGGAGAACCAGTGGACGATGATGGCATCACTTGGATGACCATCGAGGATTCCAGCAGCAGACGGAGGATTGCAATTGAAGTTGGCGTCAACATGGACTCTGGCTGGATCGTTTGTTGATACGCTTGGTTCCTCATGCATCACTTTGTTCTCTCCTTTTCTCTCTCTTTTTCCTCCATGACATGCAATCAGGAGATTGCATAGTTTTGGAACCCCCTGCGCGTCACATATGTGACGAGCTACTTCCTGAACCCATGCTATCTTTCGTACCCCTGTTTTTGTATCATACCAACCCCATTAAAAACCCCCTTTCGTTTTCTTCTTTTCGGATGTCGCATCTCCTTTTTTTTGGAAGCTTTTTCCGAATTTCGGGTTTTTGTTTTTCCTTTTTGCAAGTCGGGAAATACATGGGAATTTACGTGCGCCTTAGCGACCGCATGAGGAATTGGGCCCGACAGTTGGGAATTCCGGAATAAGCGGAACTTCGACGTGTCCTTTTCGTATGTGTGAATGTTCTTGGTCGCGTTGGGGAAAACTCTCGAAATTTTGCGTGAATACGAATAGGCGTAGGATTTTCTTTTCCCACGTCGCTTTTTTGCGCGCGGATATGATGATTTCAATTTTGAATTAGGATAAAAGCAAGTTGTAACTATTTCGGTGCCTTTTTCTCTTTTTTTTGTTGACGACGCCGCGTATGCAAGCTTTCTCCTCCCCGTCCCCCGCACCGCTCCCTCTCGCGCCTCCTTTCCCTTCTCCCTCCTTTTTCTCTCTCCCCGTAATTGTTTTCCTTCTTTCTCTCTCTCCCTCCCGCCTTGCTTTTGCGCGCCCATTTCCCTTCTTGATCGTCTGAATCTTGGACCCGTCTTGCGCCACGTCTCGCGCCTTTTCTCTTCTCACCCTCTGAGTCTGGCGCACGACACCCGGTCGATCCATCGACAACTCCTGCTCGCCAATCAGGTGCGTGGATCAATAGGACCCTCCTATTGCGCGACGAATCTGATTGGTTGAACTTCGAGTTCCGAGGGATCAACATGGCGCTCGCAGAACACTCTTCTCAAAGTCTTCTCCTCCTGCTTCTCCTTTCACCCCTCAGCTTTCCCTTCGCTTTCTCCCCCTTCTATCTCCCTTGTCGCAACTATAAAACCCGCAAGCGCGACCGCAAAGCTCTCTTACATTCTCGACTCATGAGCCAGCTTCCGGGAAGCAGTGGCTAGGCAGAGTGGGTTGATGCGAGTCGGAAAGTCCTGTCGGGTTGACGATAGGCTGGCCGGTTGCGCGCTTGATCGCCACGACGGACTGTGGGATCCGGGCGAACGGTGTCAAGTTTACGACAACGGGGTGACGATCGCAACGGTGGGAGTTAGCACGCGATGGCCGGGATCGTCGGTGCGGGTATGAGGATCGATGATTGGACTTGAGTGAATGATTGGCCCGGGGCCATATTGGAATTAACGGCGAATGCACCTTTGTTGTTGCGGATCTTTGTCTTTGGCGTGAGTATGCGGCGGCTATGCCGAATGTCTTTCTTCCAGATCTGATCATCCCCTATCTCGACTCTCCTCCCTCATCTCCCCCTTCTCTTCTCTACTTCGGAATAATGATGTGTCTCGACGTTTGTCTCTCTCTCTCTCTTCTCTTTGATAGGAGTGAATCTATGAGTCCTCCTTGTGCTAAAGAACTTCTTCCGGAACTCTTCCATTAGTTTCCTGGGTAATCCTCCTATGCAAGGACCCCGTCTTCTTGTCTTGTGAACGGTGGATGCGTGTGTACTGTGCAATGCGATCCATCTTTCCCTGTGCATGTCTCATTTTYRCACCTTCCACAGTGAATGTATGTATGGAGACGTGTGACTCTTTTTGATTAGACGATTGTCGTCGGGATCTTGTTCGAGAATGCAAGAGTGTTTAGATCTGTAGCTTCGCGCATGCCATCTGCCTTATGCTGCACGACATTAGCAGCCAAGCCACTGAGAGGCCTTGAGAAACAAGGCGTCGGGGACCATGTTGTGTTGACTCACTAAAACTGAGTCGCGGGTCGGTCCCTTAGCCATATGCATGATCAAGTTGATATGTGTTTTCTCTCTCGTTCTCTCTTTTGTGTCAAAAAGGATTGATTGGAGGATGCGTGAGTGTTTCCTGTTCTTGATAACGTCTCGAGATATTTGCGGTTGATTGATATGTGTGCTGACAAGCACCCTTCGATCGGGCGCCAGCCTCCCGTATCTCCCATCTCAACACGACCTTTTCCCTACAGCGAGGAAAGGACATGTGTATGCGAGTGGGACGTACAAGAAGTCGTCGCACAAATCGGCGGGCAATATTACTTCCCTCCGGCCAACCGTTGTTCAGGGTTCATAGATACTGGATTTGTCATTATCGATATGCACTTTCCACCCTACTCGATATTGTTGCCATTTAACGAGCTGATCGTCATCTCGTGGATGGCAGTAGAGCCCCATTGGAGTCGAAACCTGTGTACGGAGTGCCAGCGCTTCGATCACTACGAAGCGAAGGGTTTCCACTACCGAATACGGAGTGAAGACGAGCATAAGGAAAGAGCCACGCGGTTGAGACGATCCACGTCGGACTCAGAACTGACCAGCGAACGACGTCGAGATTTGATACGGAAACGGGACACGCGAAGCGTACCAAAGCCCTTCCGCTCTAAACGACGGGTCGTGGCACGGTGGGAAGCCCGACAATACTTTTTGGATTGAATTTAAATTTTTCTCTCTTCGCACCTTCCGCGACGCGCAAAAGCAATCGACTTGCTTTATCGAACCAACACAGGGGATTTCAGTTTCGTATGTGTCCCCACACTCAATTTCCAAAAATCCTTGGCACACCCCATCATGCTGTTTTTCTGGGCCTTTTTCCGCACGTCTCACACTCCGAACGAAAGACAGCACAGGGCGTGAGGTTGCGCGTCACAACCGGGCCCATTGTCCCAATAGAAAATTACATAGGATTTTGAAAGAAATTGAGAATTTGCAGTACCGAGGCCACTACCCGGCTTTGGCTAAGAGCTAGATTAAAAAATACAACAAACTACCGAAAATAGGCAAAAATTCAAGAAAAGACTCAGACCCCCCTCCATCCTCGTTACCTCACTCCGGCAGGTCTTACTGCAGCAGAGCCACCATCTCCGTTGTTGATGTACCCTATTACCATCCTACCAGCTGGGCCCCATACTAGTAGGACGCTTTGATATCCAACGTTCTTCTCCCATTCGCCTAGGTAAAGTTTCAGGAAACGTCTCAAAAACCCCCATCGATCCTCTTTACCTCACTCCGGCAAGACTTACTGCAGCTGAGCCACCATCTCTATTGCTGCTATACCCTATTTCCATCCTACCAGCTAGCCCCTTCACTGGTAGGACGCTTGATATCCCGCCATCTACTTCCAACACCAACCAACGTCATTCTCGCCGCAGATTTATGAATATAACAGCATCTCGAGACCACCTGAAGCAATTGAAAGACAATTTTGAATGTTTGGGTACCGGGGCCATTACCCGGCTTTGGCGAAGAAATTGGAGCCAGATTAAGAATTACTATGGCAAATTCAGAAAATATGCAAGACTTCAGGAAACGCCTCAGAAAACCCCCTCCATCCTCTTTACCTCACTCCAGCAAGACTTACTGCAGCAGAGTCACCATCTCCGCTGTTGCTGTACCCTATTTCCATCCTACCAGCAAGCCCCCTCACTAGTAGGACGCTTGTTATCCCATCATATACTTCTCCCACTCACGTAAGCAAAAGTTCAGAGAACGTCCCAGAAACCCCCATCCATCCTGTTACATCACTCCGGCAAGACTTACTGCAACCGAGCCACCATCTCCGTTGTTGCTGTACCCTATTTCCATCCTACCAGCTAGCCGCCTCACTAGTAAGATGCTTGATATCCCACCATCTACTTCCAACACCAGCCAACGACCTTCTGGCTTCGAACCATCACAGATCTATCATGTATATAACTGCATCAGAGAAACCCACAGTGAATAGCAAGAAACCCCAAGAATCTTGAAGCGACCTCAAGACCACCAGAAGCGACGTCCACAAATCAAATTACTCATGGGATTATCTGGAAGCCGATATAACTGAAAATATGTTGCCCTTGTGTTATCAACAGACTATCCTGCGACTGCCTCAACCGACATATCCAAGATACCGGGCTCTTCCAGGCCTCACACCCCCAACCGTTGGGTTACAAGGCGGCGCGAACCACCCCAGCTCCGACCCGCGTCGTCCTGATACCAGCTCGCGGTTAGCCACTGGACTGCCTTCCATCCTCGGCAGTTCCCCATATCTCTCTACCAGGCCTCTAACCCCCGCATACTCAGGTTACAGGGCAGCGCAACCAAACCCCAGCTCCAGCCAGCGTCGTTCTGGCATCGGTCAACCCTAACCTTATGGACATGATGGCAATAACCCACCGTCGGATAATCTGTTGAACACATCACGAC